GACCCTCCCCCGCCGTGACGGATGCTCGGCTCCTACCTGAGCCCGGAACTCCCACCAGCCACTGCGCACGCTCAGCTCTGCGAGCCAACTGCAGCGCCCGGATCTGCTCGGCATCCGGGGCACGTGACCCAGCCACCAATCAGCAAGAGCCGCGTTACCCCATTCCTAGCAACCCGAAGAAGCCTTATCTTGGACCTGCCTCCGCGCGTCACAATGCGAGCCTGCTTTCCACTGCCCGGCTCGGCTGCGTCGCGTGGTGCCGTTGGAGGCTGCCCGTGGCGCCCGTCTGAGTGCCCTCGCTGATGCCGTAGCGGGAGCGCTGGGGGCGGCAGCCGCGGGGCCAAAAGGGGAAGCGCTGGCTCGTTCCTGCGGCACCCGAAGGACTTGCTCCCAGTGAAGCGAGCACAGTTCTGCACGGCCTCCCCCCGGCGCTTCCACGGCCCTAGTCATGCAGCGTGCAGGGGCCTCCAGCGTGTGGTTTTACCCCAGCACCATCCTCCTGGGGCAGAAAGGGCTGCTCAAGCCGAAGGCAAACCGGGCTCTCGCCGGAGGCGGGGATGTTTGTACGGCTGTTACGCCCTGCGAACGCCTCGCTTGTAGATCTGCCCTTCAACGGGGCTCCTGCAGACACAACTTTCTCATGCTCCTGTGTGACGTAGGAGCCTGCACCCCCCGGTTTGTGATGGGATGAGACTGGCTCCTAAGTGTCACACGCCCTTGTGGAAGTGGGACTGTGGCCTAGTCCATCTACATTGGACTAGGATTATACCTTCTGGTATAGAGCAGAAACACACTGTAAATGTCTCTGGAGCTGCAGAAGGCCACCTGATCCCGCTTCCACAGCAGAGCTCCACCTGGGAGGCGGGAAAGGCCGTGTCTTATCTGGAAATTCTAAGCACACGAAAGGTCAGCCGCTAACTCCACATAGACTATTATCATTTACTGTTAGGAGCTGAAGGTCAGTCTCAATGCTATCAGAAAAGTCACTTAGCTGAGATTTACTGTAATCTCAGATTTGACCTATGACCTCAATCACATGATTTGTGCACACTAAATAACATCCTCCTTGACTATGAGTAGCCCATATGAGCAGTGATGAGAAGAAAATTGCCATTAGCTTTTGACCTTTTTGTGTGGACTTGTTGTGGTCTCTAAGGCAGAGAGGAGAAGCAGTTTTAACACAATGAAACTACAACATTTTGCTAGCAAAACAAAGCCACCTCTGGTCAGAGCATGTGC